GCCTTGGCTCACTTCCGGTTGACAAAAACAAATTAACGAAATGACTATCTCTCAGCGGGTTAGAACACTGAGAATCCAAACGCTATGAGTATAGCGTCAATTGGTGCAATGCAAAAGCATTGCACATGAAGTGCAATGCCTCCCATTTCCCATGCATTAGCATAGGGCCTTTTCGGGAAGCATTGCACCAAAGGTGAAACATGGCTGTGGCATTGCACGTATGGTGCAATATCACAGCGCATTGCACCATACGTGCTATACTCATAGCGTTTGGAATCTCAGTGAAGACGCATAAGGGTTATTGAAAAGACGACTTTTTTGAAATGTATACCGGCCCACGCGGAAAATGGTTCCCCTACATGTTAAAACTATCCTAGGAACAAGGGGAGCCCGATCAAAAAATGCCTAGGGGTCGCCCTACCTTTTTTAAGGTTGAATTTCGGCGTAGTTTTTCAGAAGTCCTAGTTTTAACGCTCCATGGGCTCTAAAAGCCGTGCGGTGCGTCTTGGCCGCTGGGTATCGATTGGCACTTCTTCTACTCAAGTTCCGGAAGAAAATGAGACCTATTGGGGTTGATTTGGTCGCACGTACAAAGATCTACACCAGTTTTTTTGCTCTAAAAACGCGTTTTTTGTGCATTTTTTTACATTTTGAGGGCTATTAAAGCTTCTGGTATGGTTCCAAAAAATTCGAAGTGAGTGGTTCTTGTAGAGAAAAGTCTGGCCTTTCCAACGAGCCTAGGCGGAAGATTTAAGTTTTTCAAGAAAACAGCGCTATCGCATGTGGAAGACGTAGGAAATGGTCAAAATACAGGAAAAAAATTAAAAATAAATTGTCTGCGGAGTATTAGTGTGAGTGAATGAATAAGACCGTCGAAGCCCACCGCACCATAGCGTCCCTCCAAACTTTCACTTCTGTGGTCGTTCTCGCGCGCGGTGTAGTGACGGTAGGATACGTGAGGTGGAATCACTGTGGCAAAAAGGTACGGAAAATTCTGTTAATTTTTTTGCCAGGATTCTCCGTAGCCCTCTTACGGTATTCTCCGTTAGGCCGTACAGTATTCTCCGTACGACCGCACATTCTTCTCCGTAGGACCTGGAACACTGTATGGTCTTCGAAGATCACTGTGAGAGCCTACGGAGAATACTGACAAGAGGGCTACAGAGAATTACCACAAGCTGTTCACAGAATTTTCCGTAGCTTTTTGCCACAGTGATGGGGGAAGCCTGCCGGTGGTGGGGGCTGCTGGCGTTAAGTTCCGAAACACCCGGTACCTAGTGTAGTGCAACCGCTGCTGCCACCGGCCGGCAGAGCGACCGAACGCATCAGCTGTCAGTCTGTTCGGAACTTCAAATTGGGATGGCGCGTCGCAAGACCTCGGGCGGACGCGTGCTGCACAGTTCGCGGACATGGGGGAGGATCTTTAAGGTGAGGTGTGGGTGAAAATTTGTACAAAAATTGATAAAAATGATAAATTTAATCCACTTGTTATTTTAGTGCATAATATTCTTATCGACAGCATGTCCTAAAGGTCTGTGTTATGAAACCCTAAGTAATTGGTTCATCTAACACGGACTGATGTATGCAGGCGCCTTTTCTGGTCACCCACCTCTTACGACAAGTGTCGAAGAAATTTTTTTTCCACTACGTCAACTCCTTCCTGACCGCGAACTGCGCAGCACGCGTTCCCCGCGGTCTTGCGACGCGCCATCCCAATTTGACGTTCCGAACAGACTGACAGCTGATGCGTTCGGTCGCTCTGCCGGCCGGTGGCAGCAGCGGTTGCACTACACGAGGTAACGGGTGTTTCGGAACTTAACGCCAGCACCCCCCACCACCGGCAGGCTTCCCCCATTCCACCTCACGTATCCTACCGTCACTACTCCGCGCGCGAGAACGACCACAGAAGTGAAAGTTTGGAGGGACGCTATGGTGCGGTGGGCTTCGACGGTCTTATTCATTCACTCACACTAATACTCTGCAGACAATTTATTTTTAATTTTTTTCCTGTATTTTGACCATTTCCTACGTCTTCCACATGCGATAGCGCTGTTTTCTAGGAAACTTGAATCATTAAAACACTTTGAGCTGCTCTAGCGCCTAAACTAAAAATCGCACAATCTTCCGCCTAGGCTCGTTGGAAAAGGGCCCGACTTTTTTCTATAAGAACCATTCACTTCAATTTTTTTTGAATAATACCAGAAGCTTTAATAGCCCTCAAAATGTAAAAAAATGCACAAAAAACGCGTTTTTAGAGCAAAAAAATTGGTGCAGATCTTTGAACGTGCGACCAAATCAACCCCAATAGGTCTCATTTTCTTCCGGAACTTGAGTAGAAGAAGTGCCAATCGATACCCAGCGGCCAAACGCACCGCACGGCTTTTAGAGCCCAAAAAGGACTTAAAACTAGGAAAAATTCTGAAAAACTACGCCCGAAACAACCTTAAAAAAGGTAGGGCGACCCCTAGGCATTTTTGGATCGGGCTCCCCTTGTTCCCAGGATAGTTTTAACATGTAGGGGAACCATTTTCCGCGTGGGCCGGTATACATTTCAAAAAGTCATCTTTTCAATAACCCCTTTAAAACGCAATATTAGTGCCGGTAGTGACTCGACTTTCATCACGGTGCACTTGCAGTTAGCTGTTTCACTTTGTGAATCTACGTCTGGGCTGGGGCTCCTGCAATGCAGAGACAAAAGTTCAGCTTAATTTTCAACTGTTTTTTTTTATTTGCTAGTACACCGTGTGCGCCCTAGAGAGGCGTAAAGGCTTTTAATGCCACACTCCTAAAATTTTCGATTTTTGAAGGGCACAAGTAATAAATGCCCCTTTAAAGGGCCTGAAAGCAACTAGGGTTTCATGTTTTTTACTCGCAGTTCGACGCGTCCTAATGGAATAGTCCTGTCAGAGCAGATCCAAGACAATCCCAACTGTCAGGGCAGATTTAGAACTACCTTAACTGCAGGGGTGCCTAAAAGTGTCCCTAAACTATCTGCACTGCAAATCAGTGAATCTCTCTATATCTTTGAAATACTATGTCGACGTATTTTAAAAAAAGGGCGAAACTTTGTAACAAGCCCTTCAGCGTGTAATTCTATGACGCATGTTGGCGGCGGCGTCACGGACTTTGAGAAAAGACCACTTTTCACGTGTTTTTTCACCACTTTTCACCAGTTAGGATAGTTTCGAATTTACACTTACAGTTAGGATTGTCTTGGATCTACTCTGGCAGCTAGGATTATTCTGTTAAGAGAAGTCGAGTTTTGTTTGATAGGTTCCTACAAATTATCGAGGGGTAAACACTTCAAGAAATCGTGTACAGACTACTCGGTATTACGCTGTATTACGAGTGTATTACACGTGCATTACGGCCCTAAAATGCCAAAAATTTTGGGACATTTGACACAAAAATGGGTAATTATTCCGAATAGCGGCTCCACCTATATAGGGCGGAAGTTTGGTATCATTGGACAGGTATTGATGAGTACTATTCGAAACTGCAAGAAATATGTGGCGCTCTTGAAGGATATTGCTATAAATGTGTATTCAAGTACCCTACCCTAACCTCTAACGATGCAGCGATATCGTGAAATGCGCTCGAGCTGTCAACTTACCACGCATTAGGTAGAAGGGAAAATCTTAGGGGGATGTTAGATCTACCTCGCAGACCTACAATATACCCCCAAATATTTTCCCTTCTATTGATTCGAGTAAACTGGACGAGGCCGACGAGTTTACAGAAGCCGCTCCAACACGGAAAAAAAGAAATTCGCTGATTCAGCGAGAAAATCGCTGACTCAGCGAATTTCGGCCTTCTGGATTTGAGACAAGAGGCAAATTCGCTTAAACAGCGAACTTTTGTTCACCAAACAAATATTCGCTGGAATAGCAAACAAATATTGCTGGGATTGCGATTCATGAACGCTGGGGCAGACACGGGATATTGTCTCGGAAATGTGTTAGCGACTTTGGTTTCGCTGAAATAGCGAACAATCTTTGCCCCTGGTCTAGCAAAACGCGTATCGCTGGCTGATCCAGCGTCAACATACTTGCTGTTTGACGTTGGTCCAGCCCAACGGATGTGCACAGTATGATACCTGGTGACGCTCAGCTTCGCAAATATCCAACCTCGGTTGGATTTGAACCCGTGATCTTTTCAATACCAGACGCACGCTTTACCTCCAGGCTACCGTGGCATTCTCCTCGCATCAGCCAGAGGTTCGCACTTGTGTCCTGCGCCCACTTTTGGCATGCTGTTTGTTCGTTTAGCAAATAAATTCGCTCATTGGTAGGCAAAATGTGATTGCCACATCAGCCAACTGGGGTTCGCTAAACTAGCGTTATTTATCCTCGTGTCAGCGTTTATTTTCGCCACTTCAGCAAACTTGAGTCTAGCAAACGCAGTTTCGCTGAAGTAGCGAAATATTTTTTTTCCGTGTAAGATGGCGCCACCTGTCACCTCAGCAGACGGCCGTGTCAACTTTCCCGAATTAATAGAAGGGAAAATATTTGGGGGTAAATTGTGGGTCTGCAAGAAAGATCTAACATCCCATTGGTGTTTTGGGGTGCTTTATCATTAGCCTTTAAATTCAATTTTTAATAATTAAGCTTTGCGTCAGCTGGCACCCATGTGTGTGTCTTATGCTAAGAAATAGAGTTTCATTTCCTGCTTTTTGTCTGTAATAGTTTTCGTTTGAGTCGACCTGGCATGCTAAAATGTAATCAAAAAATTGTGAAAACTTGGTTTTATCAGAAAACAATTTTGACTTTTGGTCATCTAAGTACTGTTCCAAGGAGTAAAACCCATATGAAGCTGGCATCTGCCTCTCCCTTTTCATATATTTGTGATTGTTAGCGCGTTCTTGTCTGCGGATGTCTCGTGTTGTCTTCTTAATGTTAACTTTACTGTGTATGTTCTTGTAGCTTTGAATTTTGGAGACGATTTTTGAACACGTTTGCTTTTATGTATGACGGTAGGTAAAGGAAAAATAAACAGGTTGATTAATGACTCATAAATGTATTTTCAAATTTCAATTCAAATTTTTCCTTCAACATCTGGCACAGTTCACGGATCATCAGTCGAACAAGCTGCCTGAGAAAAGTACCCGTGCACACAGAATGTTCTTGTGCAAATTTTTTAAGAGACGTCTCAATTTTTAGTGCAGATGAACTTGTCCGCCATTTCGAACAAAAATGGGGAAATGCGCGCAGTTTTTCGCACGAAAATTGCACAGAAAGTTCATCTGCACAAAAAACTGCGATGTCTCGTACAAAACTGGACATAACATTACAAGGTGCCACCGACCCGGAAAACTGAGATAAATCCGGGATAAAAATTATGCTGGGGAAAACCGGGAAGAAGCCGTGAATTTCCCAGGATGACCAGCAAAATTATAAAAGTCTCTTGAGACACGGTCTAATTTGTAATAAACTAACTTCAGTTTACAAAACTTCCCTTGCTGTTGTCATAATGGTTCCTTTTGTTCTCGTGTTCTGAGGTCTTCCACAATTATTTGTAGTATGAAAGCTAGCTTGAACACACACAAAATGTCTGATTGCAGTTGCTAGAGACCCCTACTTTATCTGCTCACATAGTTTCAAGCTGCTCTTCACAACATATGTTGACAGACCGGTATTTTGTGCGGGGTTCTAGTGCGCACCCTAAACGCTTAAATGTGGAAAACTCAAAGATGGATACGAACAGTGCTCTGAGCGCTTTTAAAAGCCCCCGATAAATTACCTTTATCTGGCCGGAAAAAAAACGGGAATTTAGATTTTAGGATTGAGTGCCCACCCAGATTTAGAGTGCACTGGTGCTATAACGAACCCGAAATCAGCATCAGGTAAAGGCTTTTAAGGTGTAGGTACACATTTGTGCCTCGTATCGACTTTTTATCCCTTGCCAAAAAGCGTTTTTGTGCATATGTAATATTTAATTTTCTCTTTAGTTTTTTTTGTTTTGTTGATTATGGAGGGTATATAGGGGAAGAAACCCCGGGAAATCCGCGAAAAAAATAAAAAAGGGGGGGGGGGAGTTTGAAATACCGGAAGCGCTCGACACCCTATGCCGCAGGCAGGTCTTTGCTGTCCGCAGGCACGTCTTTGCTGTCCACAGGCAGATCTTTGCTGTCCGCAGGCACACAACAAACGTTTCTTAGCTGCAGTGCTCCAACCGTCGCTAAGCCGCCTGAGACGCTAGAAGACATCGGCACTCCCCTCATGGCAAGGCTCTGAAGACACCGGAATATCCAGGGTGTACCAAAGCAGCTCTGAAATCATACAAAACAAGGATCTAAATAATTACTTCAGCTACATACATGTTTCATTCTTTACCTTAAATGTCCTGGAACTTTTTTCTTGTCCCATTGATTATGCAATTTTAAGCACATTCGGTTAAATTAGTTAAATTAGGTTAAATTAGTGTCCACCTGGCAATACAAATGGTTTAAGAAACGTACAGTTTGGTTAATGTTAGTCGCCAGGAGGAAACCAAATTGTATTATCACCGTCGGATGTGCTTCAAATCATATGACTCGTGTGGGAACAACTGTCCCATGACATTTGTGGAGATGCATGTGCCTATCTGGGGGGCCACACAAAGGAAAAGTGTGAAGTACAAGGAGAATTGTACAAACCAAAACGAGGCCCGGACTGCACATCACTCGTCATGCCGGTTCTAATGTAGTATTTCCCAACAAGCGTAACCACTTTACGCTAGAAATCAAGCGTAACGGGCTCACCCGCCCAGATTCCCCTTGGGGCATTCCATGACTACGGGGCCAATTTCGTAGGTGACCATCTCCGATTTTGATGCAATTTGGGTGACTTATAGTGCCCCCAAAAAAAGAATTTTGTGAAAAATCTCAGTCGGATCGGACGAAAACTTCTGGAGATATCGAGATTTTTGTGTATTTTCAAAAATCACCTAAAATCGATTTAGGAAAATGACATGATATTACGTTTTGCACCGTGCGATCGTTAATTTGAGCTACAGCAAAACAGAGAAGTTCGTTGGAAGCGCAAAACCATGGGGAGTCTTTCCCTCATCAGTCATACATCATTTTAAGCGTTTTTTTTCTTTTTAAATCCAAAACTGTCCTTGGAAATGAGATACGATGCACCAGAAAGGCTGTGGAGCCGATTTAGAGAAATCACACCACTTTTTCAAATAAGGGAGGGTGGGGAACCATGACCACTGGGGCACCATGACCACCCCCCACACGGTGGAGTAGAGGGAGGCACAAAAAAAAGTGGTCATGGTTCCCCACCCTCCCTTGATATTTTTCCTGAAAAAAAATGGCCTTTTTCAACGGTATAAAGAGGACTGTTAGACAACTCGTATCAAAGCTCCCGAGACGTCATTATACTCAAAAAAATGTCCTCTTTCGATAGAAAAAATAAAAGTTTGGGTATTTGCATCCTTCACCTACTAAATTCGGTTTTTCGTCTGAGAACCCACCTGAAATGACGCGGCGATGCTGTCAGCCGTGATGCCAACGGACCCGAAGCCAATCCATGCCAAAACCTGGGGTGCTGCAGCACTTATTACGTAAGGTAGAGCTACCGCGACCACAACACTCTTCACAATGGAGGAAGCAGCAGAGTTGAGCCCCTCTTTGTACAACGACGACGACGCCGGAGACGGAGACGGGTCAGAGACGGGCGGCTCGGCGTCCGTTCCATCACATGCGACGAAGGGAAGACTCCTGTACGTAAAAGTGGAGAAAGTGAGAACATCTTGTCTAAAGCCTCGACCCAAACAGCGATATATTTTATTAAATGGCTGTGACGTCTTGAACATGAACAAATGTCAAGCTCATTTAAATACTATGTCATTCTGGGAAAAAAAGGCAGTAGCATCACTGAGAATCCAAACGCTATGAATATAGCGTTTAATTGGTGCAATACAAAAGCATTGCACTGCAACGCCTTCCCATTCCCATGCATTAGCATAGGCCTTTTCGGGATGCATTGCACGTAAGGTGCAATACGGCTGAGGAATTGCAAGTATGGTGCAATATCTCAGGTGCATTGCACCATACGTGCTATACTCATACACTGTTCGAAATTTTTTCGTAAATTTACAATGATTTCACTGGAAATTTTTATAAACGAGAGTATTGTAAAACGTAGTTGATGAAATATGCCGTAAAGTCCAAAAATTCATCGTACACATCAATTTACAAGATACTTTGTAAATCTACAGAACATTCCGTTATATTTGTGATAATTGTAAGTAACATGCACCCTAGCATGCAGCAAATAGTGTTGAGAAAAAATGTTCATCGGAGACTAAACCAGGACTTTCTGGCCCGCCGGCAGCCTAGCTGCCACAGCTCTGCAAGGGCATTTGAAGCTCGATGACCAGTTGGCTTTGGCAATCTCTACGGCGTATTTTGTCTTTTTCACAACTGTTTCATTTGCCTACAAAATGATAACTAAAAATATCACAAATATCGTTTTGAGGCTAAAACAAGATTTATACTGTCAAAGTACGGAATAATCTCTAAATTTCAAGATACCTGTTTTAAAGAATATTTTACGAAATGTTTCGTGCTAAAATATTTCGTAAATTAACAAAAATTTCTAGCAGTGTAGCGTTTGGAATCTCAGTGATACAACGAATATGATGTCATATTCGTAAATATGTGCATTTGCATAGCATTTCTTTTGCAAGCTGCAAAGTAATACTTCGCAAAGCAAAGAAAATAGTTTGTAAGAGAGTTTGCAATACAATGCCGGAGAATACTTCGCAAGGTTTTATTTTTGAGTGTTTACCTCAAGGACAATCCAGAAGTGACGAGGATCACTTGCGTCGGTCGCTTCCGCGCCGCGGCGTGCTGCAGGATCGCCTGCACGGGGCGCTTGCGCGCCGCGGCTTGCAGGAGGCGCGACGGGAGGGAGCCCGCGCGCACCAGAGTCGTCATCGTGCGGCAAACGTGTGGGAACGGAGGAAACCGACCTGGAATGAGGAAACGAAGCTTTTAGGTGCAAGCTTTCAGCACACAGATCGGTGCAACACTCCGAGGGGCCCTATTCGAATACGTTCACTGAGATTACAAACGCTATGAGTTATAGCACTTATGGTGCAATGCAGCTGACATATTACACCATACGTGCAATGCGATAGCCATATTGCACCTTACGTGCAATGCATCCCGAAAATGCCCTATGCTAATGCATGGGAATGGGGAGGCACTGCACTTCATGTGCAATGCTTTTGCATTGCACCAATTGACGCTATACTCATAGCGTTTGGATTCTCAGTGTTTTCTCACTGCTTCCTGCAGCAATATCCGAGGAGCGGCGTGTCTGCGCTGCGCTGGTAACACCCAAGGCATACTGGCGGAGTCCAGCAAGCGGCGGTTTCATGACCTGCATGGGAGCCCCCCGCACCCCCCCCCCCCCCCCGCCCCGCTTTCTCTCGTAACCCCCCCCCTTTCCCCGCCGGGCCTCGGATCGATAAACTCGGCGCCTTAGAGGCGTTCCAGCCCCAACAAGCCACTTGGCCGGCGACCATCTCGGATCGGGCTCAAACTTTTTAGCAGATGATACCTTTCTACTTCGAAAAATACCAAGAACGAGGCAAGACACATAAAGGTGTCAGCTAGCTTTTACTCGAGAGTCCAGAAAACCCAAAATGGGGATCCTAACAGGGGCTGGCTGCCCGGGGCGGGATAGTGGTAGGCTCGTGGGGCTCGGCTGCGCGAAAAGTCGACACTATCCCCCGGTACGGCGCGACCGGCACGGGCGTAAACAATGGCACCCCAGGGGTCAACCACTGTGGTAATCGTGCGTACACTTCGTCCCGTAATCAGTGGTAATCACACGCCCAAAAATGGCCATTTTCGCCGTTTTTATAGTATGTGGGTGGGGGGTTTCTAGAAGGCCAAAAAGCTCTTAGCTGGCCCAAATTATAGAGTTTTTTGAGTATTTTTGTAGATAATCACTGGTAATCGGTAATCCTGTGTACACTCCAGTCTGAGTAGTTTACCCCTCGAGGCACCCCCTTCTCGCGCGCGACGGCCCGCGCGGGTCATGTCGATCCCTCCCCCCGTACAGTGCAGAGGGGACCTGGGGCTCGCAAACCAAGGGGACGGCGCGGCGGTGCAGGCCACGGCTCAAAGGACTCATTTTTTTACAAATTTTTTATTGTTATTGTATATTTTAATGACTATTATACTATTACTATTGTAATTTTCATTGAAATACAAGGCTACGAAAAGTCACACCAATGAGTGCGAAAAGTAAAACTGTTCGGCGCATAAAGATCACCTGCATTTTTTTTTTTGGGGGGGGGGGGCATTCCGATTTTGGTAAAAATTTGCGTTTTGCTAAAAATCCAGCCAGTCTTTGTGTCAAGATACGTTTTTTTTCTTTGAACAATCTTTTCAGAGGGAGATGCATATTTCGAAACTTCAGGCGTTCCCAGAACAGAGTGCTTCAGACCAAAATCAAGGTTGAAAATCACAATTTTATGGTTTGAACAGGGTTAAACGTGAAAATCGACGCCTATTTCGTAGCCATCAAGTGATCTGGGTTGGCTTCACTTTTCGTTTTTTGTTTTTTTTTCAAAAAAATGATATGCGTACTTAGCAATAGGTTTGAGGAGCTTTCTCAATATCAGCGTTATCGTTTTTCTGAAAATGAGACAGTGTTGGGGAATTATATTGAGAAGTAAATAAACTGGTGGGTCATTCCATGGGGGTTCGACATACTTTTGCAAGTGATCTCTCCGATTCCGATGAAACTTTGCGAGCTTGTTGGCTATGGTCTGAAAGCCCCCAAAACCAATTTTGACCAAAAAATACCGATTTTTGAAAAAGTTATGGCTTGCGTTAGAAATTTTGATTTTCGATGCAGACCTTTTTTGAAAACGCTGTAGTTTCTTCAAAACTGAAGCTACAGAGCTCATTCTGGGCGCATTAGAAAGGTATTGAATTAAACTTTAAGCCTATTGCAACATTTTGACAAAAATGTTCAAATTTGACATACATTGAACAAAGTCAAAATTTTGAACACAATTTTCTCAAAAGTAGTATTTTTGATTTTTTTTCTTTTTTTGATATGTTATAGTCCATACTTTAGTCTAGCAACCCTCAAAATTTGGTTTGAAAAAATTCATAAACAAGGAAGAAAAACGGTTTTTAGTGTTGCGATTCGGCAAATTTTCGCTAGTTGGAGTGGTGAGGAGAGCAGCATGATGCACATTTGAGACCGCAGGTTGTCGATCTCGAACTTCTAGTGTCACTTGGAACAGTTTTTTGGGGTGCTGAACTTAAAAATTAGATCAGTTTTCGTTTTCAACATTCCCAGGGGCGGATCAAGGGGGGTGACTTTTCAAAAATCAGGATTTTCGGATGTTGCAACGCGATTTCTATGTTTTTTGGGGTGGAGATATCGAATCTTGCACGATGTTGAATGCAAGTTGGCCCTAAAGCTGATCTAACGTATTGTTAGAACATAAAAGTGTGCAAATAGAAGATCAAAATAGCCCCCAAATGTGAACAACTTTGGCCCGTTGCAAAAAGTAAAGCTAGCGTTGTTACTCACACCCCTGTAGACATAATCAACATGCCACATCCAAACATCTCGAATTCGGAAAAGTCACCCCCATTGCCGCACCCCTTTATTGAGATTACCAGGGGCGGATCAAGAGGGGTGACTTTTCGAAAATCAGGAAAGTATGAGAAACGATATGCAACATACAAAAATTCTGATATTTGAAAAGTCACCCCTCTTGATCCGCCCCTGGTAATCTTAATAACGGGGTGCGTCAATGGGGGTGACTTTTCGGAATTTAAGATGTTTGGATGTCGCATGTTGATTCTTATGTCTACAGGGGTGTGAGTAACAACGCTAGCTTTACTTTTTGCAACGGGCCAAAGTTGTTCACATTTGGGGGCTATTTTGATCTTCTATTTGCACACTTTTATGTTCTAACAATACGTTAGATCAGCTTTAGGGCCAACTTGCATTCAACATCGTGCAAGATTCGATATCTCCACCCCAAAAAACATAGAAATCGCGTTGCAACATCCGAAAATCCTGATTTTTGAAAAGTCACCCCCCTTGATCCACCCCTGGGAATTTTGAAAACGAAAACTGATCTAATTTTTAAGTTCAGCACCCCAAAAAACTGTTCCAAGTGACACTAGAAGTTCGAGATCGACAACCTGCGGTCTCAAATGTGCATCATGCTGCTCTCCTCACCACTCCAACTAGCGAAAATTTGCCGAATCGCAACACTAAAAACCGTTTTTCTTCCTTGTTTATGAATTTTTTCAAACCAAATTTTGAGGGTTGCTAGACTAAAGTATGGACTATAACATATCAAAAAAGAAAAAAAATCAAAAATACTACTTTTGAGAAAATTGTGTTCAAAATGTTGACTTTGTTCAATGTATGTCAAATTTGAACATTTTTGTCAAAATGTTGCAATAGGCTTAAAGTTTAATTCAATACCTTTCTAATGCGCCCAGAATGAGCTCTGTAGCTTCAGTTTTGAAGAAACTACAGCGTTTTCAAAAAAGGTCTGCATCGAAAATCAAAATTTCTAACGCAAGCCATAACTTTTTCAAAAATCGGTATTTTTTGCTCAAAATTGGTTTTGGGGGCTTTCAGACCATAGCCAACAAGCTCGCAAAGTTTCATCGGAATCGGAGAGATCACTTGCAAAAGTATGTCGAACCCCCATGGAATGACCCTGGTACCTTTTTATTTTTGTTTGCACATACACTGTTAGCAACAACTGTTTCATTGGGATTAATTAACTCAACATACGAACTAAAAAAAGACTACGGCATACGTTTCCTACCAATCCGGAAAAGTATGAACTACTTCCTAATTTATTTATTTTTTCAAAGAAATTGAACTGGCCTGTTTGAAGTAACATTCTTTGGCACATGAATTTAAAAAAAACAAACGAAAAAAAGAAACGGGCTGATGAACGTCAAAACAATCGGTCCATAAACATAAACAGGCATGCTGGAGATTTTCGACCCATCTTCTGTAGATAACTTCTCTGAGTCTCTTTTCCTTCATTCTTCATCCTTCTGAGATAGCCGTCCGTGCTTAGTGCCCTGAGACGTGAGCCTTGGCTCACTTCCGGTTGACAAAAACAAATTAACGAAATGACTATCTCTCAGCGGGTTAGAAGACGCAATATTAGTGCCGGTAGTGACTCGACTTTCATCACGGTGCACTTGCAGTTAGCTGTTTCACTTTGTGAATCTACGTCTGGGCTGGGGCTCCTGCAATGCAGAGACAAAAGTTCAGCTTAATTTTCAACTGTTTTTTTTATTTGCTAGTACACCGTGTGCGCCCTAGAGAGGCGTAAAGGCTTTTAATGCCACACTCCTGAATTTACGATTTTTGAAGGGCACAAGTAATAAATGCCCCTTTAAAGGGCCTGAAAGCAACTAGGGTTTCATGTTTTTTACTCGCAGTTCGACGCGCAGTGTGACGATATCGAGGGAAATTTCCCACGATTAGGGAAAAAATGGGTCCCTGAGGGGAAAAGGGGAAAAACTCGAAATTGAGGGGAAATCCGTGAAATTTCGTGGAATCAGGCCAAATTTGACAGGAAACTGTTTGTTTGACAGAAATCAGTAATATAAGCTGAAAGACAAGTTTTTTTTTTAATTGTAAGTTGGCACCAGGACAGCTGCCGCGTTGCCGCGCGCGCATCCTAATACAATTTTAAAAATTAACAGTCAAAGGTTTTAATGCATACTTCTTACTTTATTAACTTAAGATAGTATCACATGACTTAGCAAAGTAGAAAATAGAATCACATGACTTAGAAAAGTAGAAAATAAAATGGCATCATAGATAGAAAGCATAGGAAACACAAGTCTCAAAGATAAATTAAAAATGGCACATTAATTCACTCGCGATTGTACATGTCCTTATTGTGCTTGCTCAGGTGCTTTGGGGTCACTTCAAACGATACACAGTCAATTCCTTTCGATCGAAAAGATGAACGAGCAACACAAATTGAGTTCAGGCATTCAGCTCCCATCCTGTTTCTCTTCTTAGTCTTGACATCCGTCACGATGGAGAAGCCTCTTTCCGCATCGGCGTTGGCGTGTGGGAGGACCATAACTAAGTTAGCTAGCTTCACCAAATTTCCGAACATCGGCTTGTCATCACCTGACTTCAAAGCGCGAATTTCGTCCCACGCATCCTCCATCGGCATGGCCTTGAGTTTCTCGTGCATGCGTTGAGGAATTGTGTGCGGGACTTTGCGCCACTCCAGCACAGTTGCATTGACGTCCAGATTGAGCTTATCCTGAAAAGTAAACACATTGATTTATTAGTCAAGGGCCTTTAAGCTTTGTCTCCAATTCGTGTGACCGTGCAACATTTACCTTATAATGCATAATTAGACCATTTATGTCCTTTAAGGCTCCAGGTTCAGATCGAGGCTGTAGGAATACAGCAGGATCCAGGAAAGAAGCTTGCCTCAAAATTTCATCCTTCAGGGGTAATCGACACTGGATCTCCTTGGCCGCAGTGGTGTAGAAATGCAAGCATTTCTGCCTGAACGCCGTGATGTCGCGAGCGAGGGCTTGGCGTGTTTCAGGTGTATCTGGGTGTGGAGTAATCTTGCTGAGGGCCTCATTGCAGCCTAAACCCAGCTCCACTTCTTCCAGCGGCAACTGCAATAGAACAATGACATTAGCAAAAAAGGAAAAGTTGGGAGATTCCGCCCTCTCAATAAGCCGGAGCCGCGCTGGCGCTTACCAAGAAGTGAGGATGGGTGACATTGATATCACCAAGTTTGTCCATGCAGTCCTCCTTCATGAAATTGAGACACAAGGTTTTCATGAGGGCGTGCGACCTCTCATAAACCTTGTGAATGAGCGTGCTCTTGGACTGAAACATGGCGTTGAACTCATTCATGACATTCAACACATAGGAGAGGAATTCCATGTAAGCCCCCGTGAACGGGTTTTTGAGTTGAGCCAGGATTTCATGGGCATCTTTGTCCTTCCTGTCCGGATCTTCAAAGCACCTTAACTCAAAAAAGCCCTGAAGACTTCTCTGCTTTCTCAGAAGAAGGTACCTTTCCACACATGGTTGCAACACAAGCCAGCGAGTCGCCGCCGGTTTCAACATTTTCTTCAATTCCTCTTCGTATTCTTCTTGAAATTGCCTCAACTCAGCGCTCCGTTTCGGACTACCGCCTAGGTAGGTTGACAGCATTCGCAGGTGTTGCTCCACGTGAGAAGGTAGTTTTGAGCAGGCAATACTTGACACCTTGGCGGCGGAATGGCACGTGCAGGGCATAAGTATGGCCCAAGGGCACCTTTCCTTGAGCCGAGACCAGAACGAGTTGTGCCGTCCCACCATAACAGCGGCGCCGTCACAGCTCAGTCCGATGCAGTTGTCATGAGGAATCCTATGCTTTTCAAGAACCTTGTCATAGGCGTTCCATAGGGCCTCTGCCGAGCAATTAGTAGAGTCGAGTCTGGCCAACTCGAGAATGGTAACTCTTGGCTTGTCCTTCCCTGGAGCTCGGGGGCTCAAGAATTTCACCACTATGATCAGGTTTTTTTCAGCTCCCTGGTCAGTGCTCTCGTCCACCATAGTTGAGAAGTAAGTATTCCTCAAATCTTCAGCCAGCTCTTCGGTTTCCACCTTAGCAATCACATTTCTCACTATGGCGTTGCACTTGTCGGGCCCGAGTGTCATGTCCTGCACTATTTTCGAGTCTTTGAACACTTTTTTTTGCACGCCGACAAGCTGAGTAGAGGTGCGAAAAGCCACGTTGTTATCGGCAAAGAAAGCTGCCATCTGGATTTCAGCGACTTTCACCCTCTCGGAGTGTTTCGCAGCCTCACGTTGAGCTGTCTGGGCCTGGCTGAACATTTCAGTGAGGGATTTATTCGCCTTCAGTGACTCTGCTTTCTTCTTGTGTAGCTTCCCTTCGGCATGCTTTTGAAGTTCACTTTTCCCCGCTGCCAACTCAACATCGCAAGCGGAGCAAACGGCTTTGTGAGGTTTGCCGTGGACTTTCTTCAGCCATCCCATGAAAGTGGAGTCAGCAAGCCACTCATCCTTGAATATTTTGGGCTTGGATATGCTTTTCTTTCCTTTCTTGGGTGGAGTTGTCGTCAAAGCTTCATCCTGTTGCCTTTTCTCCGCAGACCGAGCGTTTTCCTCATCCTCAAAGTCGGGATTATCCTCGTTGTATGACTCTATTTCGTTTTCATCCATAACCTATAACCAAGGAGCCACTTGTCAGCCTACGTGTGCAGTTTTACCGTCAATATGCAAAAAACTTATGTTTAATAAAGAAACTAAGTTGAAGTTGAACGTACCGCAGCAATACCCCTCGATATGAGGCGAGGAGTAGCGACGAGAAGAAGTAAAACGGACACTTGGCAACGTTGCAGGAACACAGAACCACTGCCTTCTCGCACTGAGCCAGAGCCAGCCTGAGACGAACAGCTGAGCATCGCCCATGGCTGCCAACTGCCAGCAGTGCGCTACCGAACTCCATAAAATGCTTTCAAGGGTGGTAAAAACCATGTTTGTGTTGATTTTACTTTGTGAAACGATAAAGCAAAGGTTAAAGTACGGTTAAATCGCAGTTTTCTTACAAAAATAGCAACTTTCGCCGAAAAGGGGAAATTTTGGCTAAAAAGGGGAAATTTGGCAGTCCGGGTGGGGAGACTCCATCGGCCGATATCGTCACACTGTCGACGCGTCCTAATGGAATAGTCCTGTCAGAGCAGATCCAAGACAATCCCAACTGTCAGGGCAGATTTAGAACTACCTTAACTGCAGGGGTGCCTAAAAGTGTCCCTAAACTATCTGCACTGCAAATCAGTGAATCTCTCTATATCTTTGAAATACTATGTCGACGTATTTATAAAAGGACGAAACTTTGTAACAAGCCCTTCAGCGTGTAATTCTATGACGCATGTTGGCGTCGGCGTCACGGACTTTGAGAAAAGACCACTTTTCACGTGTTTTTTCACCACTTTTCACCAGTTAGGATAGTTTCGAATTTACACTTACAGTTAGGATTGTCTTGGATCTACTCTGGCAGCTAGGATTATTCTGTTAAGAGAAGTCGAGTTTTGTTTGATAGGTTCCTACAAATTATCGAGGGGGTAAACACTTCAAGAAATCGTGTACAGACTACTCGGTATTACGCTGTATTACGGGTGTATTACACGTGCATTACGGCCCTAAAATGCCAAAATTTGGCACATTTGACACAAAAATGGGTAATTATTCCGAATAGCGGCTCCACCTATATAGGGCGGAAGTTTGGTATCATTGGACAGGTATTGATGAGTACTATTCGAAACTGCAAGAAATATGTGGCGCTCTTGAAGGATATTGCTATAAATGTGTATTCAAGTACCCTACCCTAACCTCTAACGATGCAGCGATATCGTGAAATGCGCTCGAGCTGTCAACTTACCACGCATTAGGTAGAGGGGAAAATCTTAGGGGGATGTTAGATCTACCTCGCAGACCTACAATATACCCCCAAATATTTTCCCTTCTATTGATTCGAGTAAACTGGACGAGGCCGACGAGTTTACAGAAGCCGCTCCAAGATGGCGCCACCTGTCACCTCAGCAGACGGCCGTGTCAACTTTCCCGAATTAATAGAAGGGAAAATATTTGGGGGTAAATTGTGGGTCTGCAAGAAAGATCTAACATCCCCCTAAGATTTGCCCTTCTACCTAATGCGTGATAAGTTGACAGTACGAGCGCATTTCACGATATCGCTGCATTGTTCGAGGTTAGGGTGAGGTACTTGAATACACATTTATAGCAATATCCTTCTCGAGCGCCACATATTTCTTGCAGTTTCGAACAGTACTCGTCAATACCTGTCTAATGATACCAAACTTTGACCTTATATAGGTGGAGCCGCTACCCGAGAGAAAATTATAGGCTGCAGATTGGCTGCAGGCTGGCTTCCTCCGGGTGCCTGAGAGCGCTCGGATGGATCTCGGATGGCTGCAGACACTGGCTGTATTCGGACATACGTCAGCCAAAATCCAGCCATCCACAGCCGCTGCAGCCTCTCTGGCTGCACCTGCCAGCCATTGAAGTAATTATTTAGATCCTTGTTTTGTATGATTTCAGAGCTGCTTTGGTACACCCTGGATATTCCGGTGTCTTCAGAGCCTTGCCATGAGGGGAGTGCCGATGTCTTCTAGCGTCTCAGGCGGCTTAGCGACGGTTGGAGCACTGCAGCTAAGAAACGTTTGTTGTGTGCCTGCGGACAGCAAAGATCTGCCTGTGGACAGCAAAGACGTGCCTGCGGACAGCAAAGACCTGCCTGCGGCATAGGGTGTCGAGCGCTTCCGGTATTTCAAACTCCCCCCCCCCTTTTTTTATTTTTTTCGCGGATTTCCCGGGGTTTCTTCCCCTATATACTCTCCATAATCAACAAAACAAAAAAAACTAAAGAGAAAATTAAATATTACATATGCACAAAAACGCTTTTTGGCAAGGGATAAAAAGTCGATACGAGGCACAAATGTGTACCTACACCTTAAAAGCCTTTACCTGATGCTGATTTCGGGTTCGTTATAGCACCAGTGCACTCTAAATCAGGGTGGGCACTCAATCCTAAAATCTAAATTCTCGTTTTTTTTCCGGCCAGATAAAGGTAATTTATCGGGGGCTTTTAAAAGCGCTCAGAGCACTGTTCGTATCCATCTTTGAGTTTTCCACATTTAAGCGTTTAGGGTGCGCACTAGAACCCCGCACAAAATACCGGTCTGTCAACATATGTTGTGAAGAGCAGCTTGAAACTATGTGAGCAGATAAAGTAGGGGTCTCTAGCAACTGCAATCAGACATTTTGTGTGTGTTCAAGCTAGCTTTCATACTACAAATAATTGTGGAAGACCTCAGAACACGAGAACAAAAGGAACCATTATGACAACAGCAAGGGAAGTTTTGTAAACTGAAGTTAGTTTATTACAAATTAGACCGTGAAGGTAGCCCCACAATGGCCATGGGCGGACCCGGCTTCAGGGCTTCAGGGAGCACTTCTCTTTCGGAGAATGTATTTATTTCGACGAAAATTGTGACAACACGGTGAATTTGTAGCGAATTTATGGGATAGAGGCTAAACCAGACGTTACAGAGCCCTGATCCGACGGCTGACGCCTGAAGCCTGAAGCCCGTGTTCCGCGGCCATTGTGGGGCCACCTTGATTGTACTGTCTCAAGAGACTTTTATAATTTTGCTGGTCATCCTGGGAAATTCACGGCTTCTTCCCGGTTTTCCCCAGCATAATTTTTATCCCGGATTTATCTCAGTTTTCCGGGTCGGTGGCACCTTGTAATGTTATGTCCAGTTTTGTACGAGACATCGCAGTTTTTTGTGCAGATGAACTTTCTGTGCAATTTTCGTGCGAAAAACTGCGCGCATTTCCCCATTTTTGTTCGAAATGGCGGACAAATTTGTACGATAAGTTCATCTGCACTAAAAATTGAGACGTCTCTTAAAAAATTTGCACAAGAACATTCTGTGTGCACGGGTACTTTTCTCAGGCAGCTTGTTCGACTGATGATCCGTGAACTGTGCCAGATGTTGAAGGAAAAATTTGAATTGAAATTTGAAAATACATTTATGAGTCATTAATCAACCTGTTTATTTTTCCTTTACCTACCGTCATACATAAAAGCAAACGTGTTCAAAAATCGTCTCCAAGATTCAAAGCTACAAGAACATACACAGTAAAGTTAACATTAAGAAGACAACACGAGACATCCGCAGACAAGAACGCGCTAACAATCACAAATATATGAAAAGGGAGAGGCAGATGCCAGCTTCATATGGGTTTTACTCCTTGGAACAGTACTTAGATGACCAAAAGTCAAAATTGTTTTCTGATAAAACCAAGTTTTCACAATTTTTTGATTACATTTTAGCATGCCAGGTCGACTCAAACGAAAACTATTACAGACAAAAAGCAGGAAATGAAACTCTATTTCTTAGCATAAGACACACACATGGGTGCCAGCTGACGCAAAGCTTAATTATTAAAAATTGAATTTAAAGGCTAATGATAAAGCACCCCAAAACACCAAACCTTGAAAAAATTGAGGCGATCCAACTCAAATGGAACGTCCTTTTCAAAACAAAAAGAGCAGTAAGAATTCCATTGCATACAGTGGACTCGCGGTCAGATTCACAATTCTACTAACTTCCAAAAATTAGACAAATGCCACCGATTCAATGACGAATGAGTCCGAAACGAAGCGCTATCGACCGCCGAAGGGGTCTTCTCGAAGACTTCGTTTCGGGTCATCTTCCTCTCTGCCGAAGTGATAGCGACAGAGCTCCTTGTTCACTTCCAGAACAGCCTGCTTGTACTCGGCAATCTTCCGCCCAGTGTCCTGAAACAAGTGCGTACAGAATGCATTGGACAACACTCTGCAAACTGAAGTGTGTACATAGTACACTCTTATAAGAGCATGCTTCCAAGTACACTCTTACTTACAGCATACTTGCTAGGCACACGCTAAAATAGAGTGTACATTGCATGTACACGCTAAATAAGAGTGTACCTGGCAAGTACACTTAAACTGGCCCATGCTTTTAGATAGGACTAATCGAGTGTATTTTAGCGTGTACTTGCAAGGTGCACTTGGAAGTCACACTGAATTCAGGTGTAGTTCAACGTCTATGGCCACAAGAATGATTGCTTTTTGGACAGACAAATGTTTGAGTATGAAAAAGAGTTCCAAAGATCGGTGCTCGAAATTGACATCCATGTTCCGTCGTTTCGTTCACCCACAGTAGTAGTTTGATACAAGCCGTTCCCGTTCTGTTTCTTTCGATGGTAGCGAAACTTTTGTTCAGATTTTCGCGCACTGCAAAGTCCAAGTTTGCTTTCCACAAATTTCGCAAGCCTTTTGAATGCCAAAATTTGGCAAGCTTTGACCCGAAATGTTCAGAAGCTTGCCAAATTTTGGCATTCAAAACGGCCTGCCAATATCATGGCAAGCAAACTTCCCTCTCGCTTTGCAGTGAAATGGGGAAAACCGGGCAGCTTTTAATGTAAGATTAGTACGAGAAATTCGCCTGCACCACAAAACACTACAACGTACCCTGCGAAATAGTGCATAAAGATAACAGTTACAAAAATCAAAGGATGTTGAAGAAAAGGCTTTACGATGGATGGGTAACGGGAAACGAAGCTACTCTACATCGAGGGGTCCTATTCAAAAGATCTTATCTGGGCGTTCCCCCCAAGGCAATCTTATCTTAAACGCAGGTGAATTTCACATAGTTTGATCATTTGATACAGCTTCATATCAATATAATTTGTGAGTATGTTAACGTAAATCTAAAGATGGAAGATCAAAGAAACCAAAAGTGCACGTAGAAATATGTTTCGCTTACCGTCGTATTTATTCTGACTTATCAAAATGAGTGAAATTTGCCAGCGTTTAAGATAAGATTGTCTTGGGGGGAACGCCCAGATAAGATCTTTTGAATAGGACCCCTCGACATATCGAAGAGCGTATA